TGTTTAAATATTAATGCGGATGAAGCCAGAGATAAAGAGAGAGCTCCATGGAGACGGGCAAAAGGTATCAATGGGTCTTTGGACCCTTGAAAAGAGAAAGAGGAACAGCGGCAAAGAGTGCAGAAAAATGAAAATATAAAATGGAAAATAAAGAAATTTTAATTAATGATATTTTCAAAATATTCCACACATTCTCCACCCCAACGTCACTCTATCCAATTTTCTGCTCAAATTCCTCACATTTCCCCACTCAGTACCCTCATCACCCTGATCTATGGGGCTAATCAAACCCGAAACAGCGCATATTGTGGGAAATTGTTCAAAGAATCAGCATATTTATAAATATTGAAAAAATACAACGAAAAGAAAGCAAAACGAAGCGGCGGGGTGCAGAGCCAGTTGAGGACGCCGAAAAAAATGGTAGAACATTAAAGAGATTTAAGCAAATTTGTTTTGGTGCGTGTGCCATCAATAACTTTGCCAGCATATTTGACTTGCCACCCAACCAGCACCCACGCCCGCTCTTTACAGGGTTGCCAGCCAAAGGGTAGCCCAGTCCAACCTCACTTTCGTTAGCTATCTGACTTTTGGCTAATGTTTGCCGTTTTCCAACTGAAGTTTCATGCAAATGTGCTCCATTTTGAACCCCACTCTGCCGCCACCCGAGTGCCGAGTTGGAAGGCTCTCAAATTGCCCGAAAAAGTATGCAACACTTGACAGCTCTGGCAGGGACGTGGCCTGGGCTAATTTTGCGTTTCCCTTGGCTCCAACTTTGCTCTGCATGTAATTTGCAAATCGATAAGCCACAGAGGGACAGGGATGGAGCACCTTGCACCTTTTGCTTCCTTCCTGCTTTTGTGCCTTTGCTTTTGCCACATTTTTGCATGAAAATCACGAAGTTGATGTCAAAAAAACATTTTCATACTTTATCGAATTTCTGTGTGCTGGGCCCCGAACCACTCAAAAGTATTACCACATTGCTTGCGTGGGCGTGGGCTGCAAAACAATTCTGAAAGTTGTCAATAAAAAAAGGAAAGACGCAAAAAGGTGAATTCCAAAGCAGCTTGAAAATCCGAGAAGGGGAAAAATATTTCCTACGGAAATGTCACATGCAGGCCAACGACAAAGGATTGACATATTTCCAGGACCCACTGACTGAAGTATGACGAAAACCGCATTTCGCATTCATGAACTCAATTTGTGGCTTACTCCATGCAATCAATCAGAGCCTGAGGCTCGAGGCGCTGCTGAAAATGCACATTAGAGCGAAATACGAGCGAAAACCCCTTTGAAGTCTTTGGCTGTTTAACTTCATTGAACTCCGCTTAAGCACAAAACATTCTCCATTGTTTATTGTTGTAATTGCAAGTAACTGCGCTTCAAAGTTGCCTTTTGCTCTTTGCAATTTAATATGTAAATAGCCGGCAATTAGCTGCAAAACATGGCCATAGGCAGGCTGAAAATTGTACACACAAGCACATAAATTTATGCGCACACAGAGCACACCCAGCAGGCCACGCCCACCCATCCATGCAGTTAGTTTTTACCTTTGCTGTCACCTGGCATCAATGCCCCAGATGGCGGCCCCACGGCTGTGCCGAGCGAGCCAACAATGCTGGCAGCCAAGTGGGAGAGCTCAACAATCGTTGCGGAGGCCTGTGCCAGGACCCTCCCATTGTTGGCCACTTTTTTTGCCTTCCCTCCCCCTGCGGCTGAGTGGTGTATATGCAGCTGCCCCGACGCATGTGGCATTGTTTGAAAGTGATGCCTGCGCCTGTGCTGGCTACGACTTGTTGCCACATCATCATCATCATCATCCTTATCCTCTGCTGCGTCCAGCACTTGCCTTGTAATGAGTTTCGCCATTTTATTTTATTTTTATTTATTTGTCCGCGCCTTTGTTTCAGCGCGGCAGAGGAAAAAAAAGAGCGGCGGTGGAAAATTCTTGACTGCATTTTAAATTCAAATTAAATAATGATTTAAGTGCCCTCCCCAGAGGCTTTGTCTGCACACGAGGCTCCACGAGGGGGAACCCTGCACAGAGCCAGCAGCCTCAGGTGTCACTTTGTTGCAGAAAATCATTTGCGAGGGACTGCAGCGGATTGTCTATGAAGGTAGCTTATGGGAGGGAAATGAATTTAAGTTCCAGTTCGAATTTTCAGTGCAGAGTAATCTGAGTTTTGGATGGGAAATCATTTTTCGTCAGTTTTTTGCTTGGTTTTATTCGTAATTTGATGTGGGAATTTTGTCTCAAACAATTATTTAAATAATTTCACATTCCATCACCTTCCTCAAATCACAGCCGGGAGGGCAAAATCCTTCCTTTATTTCGGTTAGCCACGCCCACAATGACCCAATTTGTGCCCTTAAGCTGTAAATGCTGTTGGGGCAGGACACGGGGGCAAGAACCTTGCTGGCATGCAACCGAAGGGCGATCGCAATGCGAGTAATTCAGAGAGAGAGAGAGAGAGAGGGAGAGAGATAACCGGATAGACAGTTGGACAGTTGGTGGCAAAAGGCAGAAATCAAATTACAATTTCAATATGCGATGCGTACTAAATGTCTGCTGGTGTCAGCTCTGGATTTCAATGTGCAACAGCAACATGCAACTTTCAACTTGATGTTTACAGTTTATAGATGGTGTGTGTGTGTGGAGAGTGTGCGTATGTTGCTGGCTGGTACATTTTGATTTGGTGCCACACAAAATGGATTTCTTGCCTGTCCATTCAAAACATTTCTATGCGCAATTCACAGTTAACTAGAGATGATAGAGGAAAGCACGGGCGTTACAAACTTTGCTTCAGGGCTCGGCACGCAGGTACATGCGCAGACAGCAGACACAAAGTCCAAAAATAGATCTAACGGATCTTTACCAAGCATTTAGCTTCAGAGTTTCACAGCGTGAGAGTAAACAAGAGAGAGAGAGAGAGCGAACTTGCGCGCTCTAGTCGAAAAACGTTTCTTGCTTCTCTGCCGCTGCGGCGCGTCGAGCAATTGTGAATGGGCCACATGCAAAGTTCTTTCTCTGCCGCTGCGGCGGTTCTCTGCCCGCTACGGCGGTTTTCTGTGCACAGACGAAAGAGACACGAAGCTTTCTTTCTCTGCCGCTGCGGCCGTTTTCTGTGCATAAGCCGCAGGCACACGAAGCTTTACCGCTGTGCGTCTATGCCGACTGCGCTGCCCGTGATCTTTTTTCTACCGCTGCTTTACCTCTACCGTACTTTACAGGGTTTCTTTTCACGGTTTCGTGATTCTCTCACCTTTTATTGCCATCTCTAAACTCGAATCCCGTTTACGTTTGCATTTTGTGTGTCAGCCCATTGAGTGGAGCTGCTTCCTCCCTCCCTCCCTCTCTCTCTCTCTCTCTCTGTCACGTAATAGAATTTATCACATTTTAACTGTGTGACAGGAGCCACAGTCCGGCTCTGGCTGCACTCTCCACTGGGAGAGGCGGTTGGTACAGAGGTCCTCCAACTGGCACTGCCAGTGGCAGTGGCAGTGACAGTCATAGTCATGCCTTTCAAATGCCATTCAATTCGGTACGATGCAAGGCAAAGTGTCACAGTTATTGATTTCGTCGCATAAATAATGCATGACCCACAAGTGTGTGAGTTTGTTTTTGTTTATTCATTACATGATTTATTCACGCAGCGTTGCTCCAATTAAAATGATGTTCAACCCAGCCCTAAGGTCTGCAATGCAGCTCCCTGGAGCGATTAAGGATAATGTCAGATTTCGGGCAACTACTTCCACCAGCCAAACTTTTGCAACTTGAAATCTGCACGAAAAAACTTGCTGCAGGGACATGGAAGGAGTTTTCAGCAGCTGGGGCAGGCAGCGATAATAGTGTGACCAGAGGAGCGTGAAATGAGAGCTAAGCGCGGGATTCAGGGAGCACTTTAGGGGAAGTTCTTTCCCAAGCAAAGACTCAAATTTAAGTTTCCACTTATTTGCATGTTGTGAGGTATAAAAAATAATCAAATGAATTATTTACTGCATCTCAAATCCCATTTTGATATTATTATATCAAAGTTAATGCGATTTTCGCTCTGCCCTCTTCGATTGCTTTGCTGGCAAAACTCAATCCGATTTACTTTATCGAGCATCGATACCCCCCACTGACTGATTGCGGAACTGCAACTCCTGGCACCACCTCAGCCATCAACTGTCAAGGGCTCAGTGCAACTCCCAGAGGCGGCTCCCACTCTTTGATTGACTTGCAACATTTTGCACATCCCCACAAGCAGTGGAGTGGCTTTACACTTGGCACAAAACTCACTTAAACTTTGCAATCATGATAGCAGGTAATGTTAGATTTCCATTCCCACCCCAAAGCAGTGGGGGCTCTCCGTTTTCCACTCAAATGGTAACTAAACGCAGTCGAGCACAAGGCACGCTTTTTGCGGCCACTGGCAAATAACCTTAAGGTTAAGATTACAAGGTAATTTGATTCAATTCCAGTGATAGGCGTGCCAAGGCAGCGTCCCAAGATGGAAACGGAGATGAAGATTGCGACGGAACGGAACGGAATGGGAATGGGAATGGGAAAGGCAAAGGGCAGGCTGTACCGGTGGTGTCGTGCCAATTTCCCCTCCACTTTGAGTCGCAATAGATGCCAGTGTCAAGATAAGAACTGTTGCAGCTCTCCCCCTCGGGGCAACTTCCTTTTGGGCCTTTCTTTTATTGTATTTTCCTTGCTGTTTGTTGTTTATCGGCTTGTGTATAAATTTGCCTTTATTTTGACATATTTAGTGGCCTTTTGCGAGATTATTGGAGGCTGCAAGTCCATTAAAATGGCATAAGAAAAAGCCGAAATGCCGGGATTAATTCCACAGAAAGGTGCTCAGCAGATTAGCAATGGGAAAGTGGCAAATAAAATAGGAATTAGAGAGACAGAAATGCCAGGAGAAAAGTCTTCGAAGAGAGGTTCAAAATCCTTTTGGAATGCTCGCAGCTAGCTAAATTCTTTAATGAATAAAACAACTAAAACAAGGAGCTGTTTCCTCCCTCACTCCGCCACACCATACAACATCCTCATCAACTCGGGCACATATTCATCCCATTTGGATTGCAGAATATTCCCTGCCACGGGCGCACCCATTTCATATTTCTGCGTAAACTTTTGCACATCGAAATTGCTGTGTCCATCCGCATTGCTCAGCTCCAAACGCTTCTCGTCAAAGTCCAAGCGATCCGATTGCCGATAGACGAGCAGGAGATAACGCTGCAGTCCACTGTCCCTGGGAGGCAGTGGGCCAAAGTAGTCGGAAATGGGTTGACCCTTCGTCACATCCTGGCCGGGCACATTCACCACCAGCCAGTGCAGCCAGGAGCGGTACATGGGGTTCTCGCGGTTCGGCGCATCGGGACATACCATAAGCACAGTGTAGAAGGACCCAGGATCGGCATTCCAATCCAGTTTGGGCTCGAACTTGAGCTCCTTGGGCGTGTACACTTTGCCCTCTTCGATGTCTATGGTGTTGTCATATTTTACCTGCAAGTGTTGGGGTGCTACAAATATATTCTGGCTGCAGTTCAGAGCTTACCTTGAGCAAATCCTTTGGTGCTTCGTCCAGTATCTCGGGTATTACCTCCATTTCCCGCATTACTCCTCTGACATTCAACTCGTTCTCCTCCTGACAGCGACTTGGGCACCACAAGCCCACGAAGAGCAGACTCAACCAAACCAGTTTCATGGCTCCGAAATACAGATCCAACTCTGAGCTTAGCTCTGGCAGATTTCGGTCTTTATATACCCGTCGGGTGATTGTCTATTAAATTACGGAAATTGCCTCAATTTTCTGTAACAAATATTTACAAAATTAAACTCTAATTGTAATAAGTGCAGTTGATATTCATTTGTGATGATAAATTAAGCGGCGAAATCAGGGACAAATGCAGCTGTAGACACGCACTTCGTGGAGCTACCAGTAAAAATATTTTAGAGCCCGTTTGGAGCTTGCGAAAAGTGGTTTAAGTTTTTGTTTAGTAAATGGAAATGTATCCATTCGATTTCACGGCATTTATTTAAGATTTTTGTAACTTTATTTATGGGATTTTTGTACCAAAAGGTATGGCCTGAAATGTCCTAGAATTTGCTGCATTCTTGAACGCATTTTGCAGTGATTTTTGGCGCACGATCTTCACTGCAACATTTTATATTTTAATATTTCAAAACTTTCACACATCAACGCATTAATATAAGTATTAAACGTAATTAATTAATTTAAACTGAACACTTCATGGATTTGAACCTTGCAGAAAGTCCAAGAGTGGAATATATTTTCCAGGGAGCGGATTACGTGACTGAAGCTGGCCAGAAAAATGCATTTACATGGCTGGCAATTATGAAAATATTTCAACTGCTTTTTGCATAATTTTCCAAAGCCACTCCTATGGCAGAGAAAAAATGTGTGGAACGAGAAGGGGAACTCGATTCAGTGAAGAAAAGCTGGCAGCATGTGCGTCTAATGTGCGCACATTAGCAACACAAAATGCAGCAGCAGGAGCAGCAGGACGCAGCAGGACGAAGGCAAGTCAAAACTGAAGCCAGGACTAACTCCGAAGCTGAAGCCGGAGGCCAGAGCTGGAGCCACTCAAGCAAAACGAACGCACTTAATTTATGCAATTTGGTTAACAACGTTAAAATAGCAGACGAGGAGGAGCAGCAGCAGCAGGACGAGGACTCGTGCCAGCCACGAACGAGGCCCCAAGGATGATGCCAGACATAAATCAAAATGGAAACAATAACCTCCCGCCAGCTAGACGAGGCACACACACACATGAGTGGTACTGTACCAAAAGGAGTAATAAGGATAATGAAGCGGCAGCGTTTTGTGGCATGAAGGCAGGCACTTTGCCATGCCGCACAATGATGGGCTGGCAGGCACACACGCAGTCCTGGTCTGTGCTCAAATATTGGCTCATTATTTGACTTTATTATGGATTAATTAGCGCATTAATTATTGTAGCTCAATCCCAGATTGGAGGCTGCTTGTGGCAGCTGTAACCAAAGAAAAGTTATTCATATTTCCAGCAATTAGTGGGAGAGGAAACAAAAAAATATCTAGAAATATTGCCAACTATTTCGTAGACTTTTTCGGCAGCTAATCAATGACTGAAGTTCAATGGTTTAACCTGAAATCAATAGTTAGAGTCCTGCGCTCCCAGGGTCACTAAACTCTGCCCAACTATTGCCTCATTTCGGGAGCATTCCCTGGGGGTTTCGCTCAACCCCTTTTGGGGCAACTACTTAGTTTGTTGGCTGCTGGGTTATCTGGTTACTTTTACAAGTTTTGCTCAGCCTGGATTACAGCAGGAGTCCAACCAGCAGTCTGTCTGCCCTGCCAGTTATCCTCTCTATTCAGGGAAACTTTCTCGTTGCCGCTGCTGCTCCTGGCTCTCTGAGGTTTCAAGTTGTTGCTGCTCCCTGCCTCAGTCCTGCTGCTGCACTAATTTGCGTGACCTTTGGGGGGTGGATGTGGAGTGGAGTGGAGTAGAGTTGAACCAGGTAGCCAGAGCCAGAGCTGAATGGCATTTCATTTTGCGCAACGCCTTTCAACGTTAATGCCATGGAAAATGCATAAACTGTGGCAGGCAGCGAGCACAATGGTCCAGCTCCCAGCTTATCAGTGGCAAGGAAGGGATTGCACTGCCATTAACAGTGTTGGGCAATGGCTTTAGAGGAACTTTCAATCAGGGTACGCACTTCCCATACAAATTGTGACCAATTTCGCTGTAAAAACTGCTCTAAATTGCATAAAGATCCGGGGCTAAAAATAGTCCTTTTATATCTTTATTAACGAACCGCAGTCGTAAGTTTTGCCAATAAAAATATTAATGACGACTAATAAAAGGGAGCGAGCGAAATAAATATATTTTTGTGGAGCCGGCAGGCAACAAAGCGATTAACCCAGAAGTGAGTAAAACGCCAGGCGGTAAAGAAAACTCGGAGGAGCAGCAGCAGAATACTTTGCTTTAACGATAACAAATCGGCAACAGTTAGCAAGCGGCATTAATACTCATTCGCAGCGGCATTTATTGGCTAATTAAAGCGGGCTGGAGGCCGAAGGAGGAATACAATTGACCCGAAAAAGCCCGCCTCGGGCATAGCGATGGCAATTAATAATTCCTGACAATTTACACAACATTCGGGAGCAGATAAGAAACCAGTGCCAAAGGGTTGGCGTTTTCCTCTTTAACAATTGCACTTTCCCTTTTAAGGATCTACTTAAAATACAAATGAAAACTCTTCTGCCTGCCGCTGACAACTTCAAGTGCGGTTGTCCTTTTTATGCCTTTCTCTTGGCTCCTGGCTCCTGGCTCCTGGCTTCGTTTGTTTATTCGCTCAACTTGCGTTCAAAGAAATCAATTATTTTAATTCGCGCTGACAACTCGCGTCATTTTCAGGCGAAACTTTTTGCTGCCGCTGCTCACGTGACAAGGGACCTGCCCGCAAAGGGAATGTCATGCAAAAAATGTCAATAACAAACAAATGATTGAAATCGAAAGAAGCGCCGTCCCCCGATGTTCTTTCTTTGCTTTGATTTATTTCTGGGGTTGAGTGAGTGCAAGTGACGTTTATTAATTAGCGGAAATTGTGGCAATAATTAAATAATTGCAATGAAAAAAGGGAAAGTCTGTCTGAATTGGGGACTTTTGTTGTGTGTTAACTATCGACAGATGCGCCATTGATGGAAACTTTGTGCACACGCCCAACATTCCAATAGACTCCTGCAAATACCATTTGGCAATCCTTTGGCAAACACAGGGAGAGAGCAGCACACATGTTTGGAGTATTCTTCGCGTGGCATGTTAAGAGCCAAAAAAGTTTCCATCATTGTGTATTACATGCGTGTGAACGGGAACTCAGACAAGAGCCCAACCACCACTCGCCACATTCCGCACTCGAATTCGCATTCATATTCACAATCAAACACATGCGAGTGCCAGCAGAAGGATATTCACAATCACAAAATGGGAATTGTTCATTTTCAAAAACTTTGGCATTGGATTGGCTGTTGCTGTTGGCTGTGTGGCAGAAGGAAGCACTTTCTGTGTATATTTATTTAAGTGTTATTTTTCGTTTTTACTTTCTTTTTTCTTGTGTTTGTGTGTGTGTTTGTGTGTGTGTGCTCAAATTGAGTTATAAACAAGTTTTTTGAAAATTGTTTAAATGGAATGAACAGATTGAATTTCCGTAGAGAGGGACAGGGAGCATCTGTCGGGGCTTGAGCTTATGTCAAGTGGAAAATCGTTTTGTTGTAAAGCTCTCTCTCTCTCTCTCTCTCTCTGTGTGTGCTTTATGGATATGTTTTTGATCACAAACTGATTTATTTATGCATGCAAAACGCCCACCTTGGGTAGCACTCTGCTCTCCGCTTTAAAGTTCCTTGATTTAGTTCGTAAATTGGTGTGTGTGTGTGTGTGTGTGTGTGTGTGTGCGTGTTTTTGTTGATTTAACTTATCCAAGTTTCCAGTTGGCTTGCCTTGCGTTTCGATTTCTTTTATTGGCTTCGTCATTTCGATTGAATAAATGCGAATTGAGATAACTTTGATGAAGTCAAAAGCAAAGGCACTGCTGCTGCCGGCTGACAAGTGTTGATGGAAAAGCTCTTTAACAAATTCATTATTGCGGTTACAAAAACATTGATTTGTGCAGCGGAGTGGGAGAACAACAACAAACATGCTTGATCGATGAGAGAGCTTTCAATGTGAGCTCGTTCGCTGGTGCAGTGTTGTTGCTTTTTTCGGCTGCGCTTTCAACTCCTCTTTCAGCTGGTGTGCGAGCGAGCCCAAGGAGTAGCCGTAGCTAAGAGAGCTAACAGTGCGCTGTTAACAGGAACGGCCAGCGGCTGTTAACACCTGGATTGCTAACAGCGCTGCTAAACTTTACAGCTGTCAATGTGAAAGCCAAAGCAAGAAATATTCTTCATAGATATTCCAATTTTATGCATGAAAAATAGCCGAGAGACTGCCCAAAACCATTAGCAACTATTTATGCTTTTAAATCTTTAATTCCCATAAGCCTGTATGGTTTATATTTTCCCCACTGCCTTATATTTGGCCTCATATACGCTTTTGCCTATTGCCACAGTTTTTATCTTGGGCTTTTTGCCACAAATTGCATTCAAATGCAAGCCAAACCGCAGGAGTCACATTAGGATGCAAAGGAGTCGTAACCCAATGCGGCCATACTTTGTCTTCTTAGAACACTCGCTGCAGAATCTCGAACCAACTCGAACCACCCTCCATGAACCCTTTGGAAAGCCAAAAATAGAGCAGCAGCAGGAGGAGAGAGAGAGAGATGGCAAAAGCCAAGCACAATTTTCCGTTTTATTGCGGTTTATGATACGGTTCATAAATAAGCATATGTGTGTGACTTACTCTTGCTGTATGCAATACAGTGCGTTTCGTGTAGATAAGGCGGCATATGCTTAACATTTGTGCATGCAAAAATCAGTTAAATATTCAACAAAATGGAGCGGGAAATATCACAGAAACATGTATTTAACCATGAAATAGTTCTCTTACACTCATGCCGCGCACTGTTCATGGTCATGTAAACCCAATTTACGTCAGCAAAACTGCATTTTTGCGAATCTGGCAAAAGCAGAATGCAGAGCAAAGAAAGATGCAGAGGAGCAGCGCATGGAGAGAGGCTGGCAGCGGAACAACTC